GGTTTCAGAGGGGTAAATTAAATTTGTAAATGTAAAACGTAGAACTTGCTTCTATTTAAATGTCTTAGTATATGACATATGATGCAGATTTAGTGTGTATTCATTAACGCTTGAAATAAAGGGAACAAGATTTTTCACAGACCCCCTAAAAAGCCAGCAAAATGTGAGTGATGTCCTCAGACTTTGCTACCTCTTTTCTTCAAGAGTACATTGTGAAAGTTAAATATTTTTTATTCTGTAGCTTTTATTTGTGTCTAATGTTAATCCTAAGTGCAATTACTAAATGACAGCTGCTCCTGATATCTTGTTATGACTAGACTGCCTTTCAAAACTCATTCCATCCTACTTCCATACCTGATTGGACCAGAGGAACCACATCTACTTGCTGTAATCGTATCTCTTGCTGTTGCAGAGGAAACTTCTTTTTCCCTCCTGCTGGTGTGTGGAGTCGTCTCCGTGATGGCGCTGTTTCTCGTGTGTTTGTGCCAGAGTTCGGCGGTAAAACGGAGGTATGTGAGCAACAGCAGCTCTGCGTGGATTTATAGAAGTGCAAGCAGGCCGACACCTTTCATTATTTTTGTTCAATTACGGCGCAGCAGAAAACACACGGCAATTATCAGTGAATATATGCAGCAATAAAAAGAAACGATTGTGTTACCAGGAAATGTTTCCATGTGGTACTATTAAGCCGTTTTTCCACATTCCTTCCTCAGGTTCTACAAATTTTTCCAGTGCTTGATGCTGGATGTTGTGCCAGATCCTGCGAACAGCAAGTGGGCAAAAGAGTACATACAAGACAAGGTAAAAGGAGAACAATAATTGGAGCTGTAGTGTGTAGTGTCACTGTTCCTTATTTGAGCGAGTGTCTTCCTTCCAAGCAGGGCAGGATGAGCCTCATGCCTCAGCAGAGCAACTCCAATTTCAGCAGCGAGGAAGAGGAGCCGATCCTGGTGGACGTGGAGGAGCTGCCCAAGCAGAGCGGCGACGCCTCCTCACCTACAACCATCTCCTTGCAGCTGCCTCCTCAGACCGGCCTGAGCCCTGAGACCGATCCGGCCACGCTGCTGTATCCTGTGACCACCTACATCAAGAGCTTCTCCCACGACTCAGACAGCTCCGACCAGACGCAGACCTCTCTGGACACCAACTCAACCGTCGACTACATCTCGTCACACGGGCCCGGAAACATGGACGAGGAGGATGAAGAGGAGGAGGAGGATGAGCTCGTAGACATGCATTTCTTCCCCAGTCACAACATCTTCATGGATTCACTGGAGTTTGGGGGGAAGCTGACTCTGGACGCAGTGAAAATTGACTGCGGTGACTTCTTTCAGAACGCTTAGCTGAGATAAAAACTACTTAGTAGAAGAAGAAGAGCGCTACTGAACAAAAGAGAACAGAAACAATGACTGGAGGTGACGGTGGGCTTCAGCTTCACTTGTCTCTTTTGGATCAAGCACGCAGCTGAGATGTGCATGAACTACCTCTGTGCTCACTGAAGTGAACCGTTCCTTTATGCAGCAATAACATTTGATTCAAAGGGTACTTCTTTTATCTCATGCATTACAATCGTTTTCTTTTCAGCCATGGACACACTAAGAGCATGACTAAAAATGAACACAGCACAGGCTGCGAGATGGAGATATTGTCATTTCTGTCTGTCTGGAGTGAGGAAATTAAAAAAAGGCTTCACCTGGTTCGTGGCAGCCCTGAAAAATCTTTCTTCACAGCATTTATTTATTAGTTTATATGTGACCCATCTGCACGAAATCAGTCGCATTGTGCCTTGGGCTATTAAACAAAAGCAGCATGTTGCTACCACATGACACAAACCACAGGACAGGATTGGCTGGCGATGACACATTGCTCGCGGTGCCACAAGTGATTTCCATGGCTTCATTCTGCTATTTGACAGCCATATGGAGCGTAATATTAATACGCTCTGTAATATTACATGTTACCTACATGTAAAAAACAACTAAATGGACCGATCTAAGTAATAAACCCAAAGTCAATATTTTATCATGTGTTCGGGCTGTAAGGGATCAATGAAGTTCTATTCTATTCTATTCTATTCTATTCTATTCTATTCTAGCCCCAGGCACAATGCGACCGATTTTATGCAGATGGGTCACATATGTTAGTCGCTAAAAAATAAATTGAATCCAGCTGTATTCTATTCAGGTTTATTTATACAACGCCTTTCTACAACCTAATTAACCTTAAGGAATTTTTCCATAGTAAGGTGGAGATTCTAGAGAGAACCCCAACAAATGCACACTTTCCCTTTTTGAGCAGCTCTTTGGCAACAGTAAGAAACAACACAAAAAAAAACATTTGCAGAACCAGGGAGAGCAGACATCTGCCTCGACTGGTTAAGGTGAGGGCAAAGAGTAACAGATAGAAAATAGACAAACACATCGGAAAACCATAAACACTGGGGAGGTTGGTGAAGCCAGTAACTGCAGATCCACAGCCGGAGATACCTGCAGAGAGGATAAAACCCAAACTAAAAATGTATGTACAGAGAAAGAGAGGATAGTAGCAGAGAAGTCCTCTAAGAAATCTAAGGGATGATTCATCCTCACCTGAGTCAGCCTTAACTATGACCTTCATCAAAATGGACAAGTTTCATCTTTACAGTAGAGAAGATGTCTGCCTCCTGATTCCACACCAGAGGAACCTGATAAACTGAATGATCTGCCTCCTATTCTGCTTTTGGAAACTCGGGGAACAAGGAAGTCTGTGTTGGAACAATATGGTAAAATCAGGTCTTTAAAATGTGTTAGAGCTTGGTCATTAAGAGCTTTGTATGTGCAGAGAAGGATTTCAAACTCCATCCTGAATTCAAAGGGCGCCAATATGGGATAAATATGATCTCCTGTTGGTACTACTCAGCATTTTGGATCAGCTGAAGGTTTTTCAGAGTCATTGGGACATTCTGATAATAAACAATTAGAGGTAAGAAATGCATGGACGACTTTTTTAGCGTCACTCTGAGACACCATGTTCTTAGTTTTGATAATATCCACTGGCAGAAGACTTGTTATATGGGAGTTAAAGAATATTTCAGACAATATTTTGTTATTTACTCCCATGCTTTCCCTACTATATGTTGAAAAGCAAATTGTCCAGTGTAAAAAATGTAACTCCATATACTGCTATCATAGCCTCGTCTCTACTGACTTTTGGCCACATTTTTAAATACACCCATCCTACCTCAGCATTAGTTCATCTAAAGAGAGAAGGAAGTTAAATTGACCCAGTTAGAACCAACTGCAACATTTAAAATGAATAAATAAATAAATAAAACAGCAAATATTTGTCATCAAGTGTGTGCAAGCAGCTCTGCAGGTTGTGCAATAAGCCCGTAAAAACCAACATAACCATGATCCATGTCAAAATGAGGTTTGTTCATGCTCAGTAACATCTGTGCACCTGATTGTTCAGGCAATTATCTAATCAGCCAATCATGTTTCAGCAGTGCAATGCAGAAAACGACTGCAGATCCAAGTCTTCAGTTAACATTCATATGAAACATCCGAATGGGGGGAAAAAATGGGATCTCAGTGACCGAAGCATGGATGTTGAGAGTATTTCTGATCACTTTACTCAGTATAGTGCAAAAAGAAAGAAGCTGACATTCAGGCATCAGTAACATTCTTTACAACTGCGGTGAGACAAGACTCACAACACATCCAAACTTGAGGCAGACGGCACGAAAACCACGTAAAGTTCCACTGCTGCTGGCCAAGAAGGGAAATCTGAGGCTGCAGTGGAAACGGACACAACAAAACTGGACAGCTGAAGACTGGAAAACGAAGCTGATAAATGGAGATGGTAGCATTAGACTTTGGTTTTAACAACATGAATCCATGGAAGGTGATTCCATATAACATCTACCAAACCTGAATAAAAGTTCCCGCTGGACTCCTTCAGAATTGTTATTTTCCAAGTTACAAGCCCGTGAAGTTCACAGGAGAAAGTCGAAATTTTGCACTTTGTAGTTGACTTTTTGCAGCATTTTTGAGCCTTTATAGCTTTAAATGTAAGGGAGAAAAGCCACGTGAAACTCTCAGGGCTAAATAACACATGAGGTCTGTTACCAAAGATACAAAATGCACAAGTTTTGTTTTTTTCCAGTGAAGTAGCAAAAAAACACCAAAGCTTGTTCCTTTGACTTTGTGTCATTAGACTGGTGCAGGTTTTCCACTGAAACTCTAATACATCCCATGATATTGATGCTTGGTTGGTTATAAACAGGATGAACAAATGAGATTTTGGCTTTAGATCATGTTTATGTGTAACTGATTTGGTTACAGATTAAAACAGAGCTCAAATGTGTTGTTCATCTCTGGAAATTTAACGTTACTTTACTCCTGGACATATGAAAACCTGCCTCTATGTACGTCTGGGCTCTGCAACTTGGAAAATTCTCATAGTATGAAGGTAAGATTCTGCATGGCTTCATTAAATATACTTAAGTTATTGCATTAAAAAGTCAGCTGGTTCTGGCGGGTTCAGGTGGGAGGCTCTGATTGAGTTTATAAAGAATAATCCTGGAGCCAACCTGCCTTGTGTCCACAGTCCAGGCCGATAATGGTGGCGTAATGTAGAGAATGTTTTCTTGGCATGTTGTTGAGCCCCTAATACCAGTCGATCGTTATCTGCCTGAGCATTGTTGCTGACAATGAGCGAACCTTTCTTCCAGCGACTACTTCCAGCGTCATGTCATAAAACAAAAGCTGTCTCGAACTGGTTTGGTGATCATTGTTGTCATAACGAGCTCAGAGGACTTCAGTGGCCTCTTAACGTCTTCAGATCTAAATCCAGAACCCCTCTGGGATGTGCTACAGCAAGACAATGAGTGCAACTGACAAATCTGCAGAAATTAAGTGAGAATAATGTAAATATGGAACAGAATCTCAAAGGAATGTTTTATCTTGTAAACTCAATGACACCAAAAACTGAAGCTGTTTGAGAGTGAAGGCAGGCCAGTATTGGATTGTTGGTCCTAATAAAGTGCTTATTGACTGTATTTTTTACCATCTTAGATAACAAACCCATGAAAAGCAGCTGAGGCTGATAGGAAAGGTACAAGTTTTGCAGATATGCAAAATATGTGCTCGCCAATGTGGTAAATAATTCCTAGGGAAACAGAAATAGGTGCCCAAATTCTTGATCATCAGTCCAAGAAATTTGAATGAAGCCACAAATGTGAACCTGATGGAGCTGCAGGCAGCCACGGGATCAAAACAGTTAGTGGGAGTCATCCTCTGGGAACCTGGGAAATGTCACAGCACATCATCCAGATGTTTCAGTCTGGACAAAAGTAGCAACCAAAGTCTGGAGGCTGCAAGCACAGCAAATAAAAGTTTGAAAATTGTGTGCTTCCTTTAACATTTTCATCAGGACATCCTTTTTCATGTCTAGTTTAGAGCAACAACCTCATTTGCACGTCACTGCCTTCACACAGGAATCAGTGTGGTTCAGGCAGAAACTCCAATCTTATGCAATATCAACATCCTGACAAGTCTGAGTTTGTTTGATGTCAATGCAAATAAATGATTTCATCATCTGCACAAACAAGGTGTGAAATTCCTTTCCCCTTATTCCGACTGATCTTAAAGATTGTCAACAAGGTACAGAGAAGCAGAACTTCAACACAAACCTCAGGGGGGCGCGATCGTTTGACTTTTTGCTTTTTCGCGTGGTCACTCGCCTTGAAGAGCACAACATATCAGATACCAAGTATGAGGAGATGTGGTTGCAAGCAAACAGAACATTTTGCCTGCGGAGGCCAAATAACGGTGACAATGCAAAAAATTTATCGACCATCTTTATTTACCGACAGAGGTCTCTAATAGCAGGGCTAGAATTCACACATTTGTAGAGCACTTCAGTTGTTCCACACAATGGACAACTGTATTTCTTTCAGAGCAATTATGCAGTGGTGCCACTGTGGAAGCTACAGGGCAAGTCGACAGTGGAGGAAAAGATCAGCACAGAACAGAATGCGGAAACAAACTGAAGCTGGGCTGAGTTTACATCTGTGGAAGGATGCTCGAGCGGAGTGTGTAAACAGCCGGAGAGGGTCGACAGCCGCATCTCAACTGCGTAAAAACACTTCCTCTCCTTTATCACTCTAAAGTAAAAAGAAAGGCATTAATTGACTTGCACATGGCCAGTGATCAACGATGAAATAGGCAAAGAGGAAGATGCATTGGATGGTGAACAGCACCCCAAATACAAATAAAATCAGAACACATGGAATAACTGTCAGCTTCAAAATCAATCCGCTCGACAAATGTCTCGGGATCAACGCAAATTTAACAGAGTAGTCGCCATTGTGTTCCTCCAAAATGACCTAATGTTACTCCTTTGGAACAGTTCAGTACAAAAGAACTTCAAATTCAGATTTAGGTGCCGTTTCATCAATGCATTCAAATGTAGGACGCCTCTCTTGATCAAAGACGCAAAGGTGTGTCCTATTTGCACCATGTGAAATACAGTCTCTGAAAGAATTTATGAAAATAGTTAAGATTTACAGGCCGAAGATCATACAAGAATAGACCTCCTGTATAAAATATAAAACAATACCCCAGTGCTAAAGAACAAAAATCCATAAATCTCAATGAGTGAAGCTGTAACTTCATCAGAAATACCTGCTGTGGCAGAGCTTATGAGCTTGGGTTGGAGCTCCACAGTGCCTATTTTAAAGCGAGCAAGCAATGGCACACACCACCACGCTAAAGATACTCTTATGCTTACATTTCAAAATGCATATTTTCAAGCAGCAATTACAAAAATTTATCAATGGACAATGCATAACCTCTGAAAAAAATACTGTATGAAAACATCCCTGCTACTTTGTTTCCAAGTACAAAACCTCTACCAATAAGTTGCTCCAGAGTAGCAAGAAGTCCTTTTCTCTTTTTTTTGTCGTATTTTTTTTTGTTAATTTCTGTTTTTTTTTCCATCTTCATTTTGTTTTTAATTGGGTAAAACTCAGTCCTCACATTGAGTGTCATAGTTAATGACAGTCTTCTCCATCATTTCACTTTGCTGAAGGATCCAGGAACATGCAAGCCTCGTAGTGGAGGTGCTCAGGAGGCTCCTGTAGGCCTGAGGATTAACAGCCGGGGCTTAAGCCAGGGCTGGGAAGGCCTCTGGGTCGTCCACGTTGGGCACAGACGCAGATGACTGCAGGAAAAGGGAACAATAATGAGGAGTTAGAACATTGAAACCTTCCAAGATGTGACGGTAAAAATAAAATAATCGATGCAAATGAGGCTTTGATGAACAGCTTAAAATGACACCATACAGCAACTTTTAGTTAGTGTCACTCTGACATCCTCACTGAACCCTAACTGAACTTCAAAAACATACACTGCAGAGACCTCTTTGCTGTCTTTCTATTCTGTTACCGTTTACTTTTATGCACTAAAACACCAAGTCAGTTTCCTTGTATGTGAAAACCTACTTGGCAAAAAAACTGTTTGATTCCAATAACATGACACTACTGCCAAGCTTTATAGTCCTTCAGCTCCAACAACACAAGATAACACTGTGAATCTTTGTAACTTAAGTACAATCCTACACACAGTGTGTCCTACAATTGGGCTACATTTATTGATTATATCTTTATTTTACTTTTCTTTTACTTGTCTTTCTTATGACTATGCTTCACATGTATCAAGTGTGAATTTCTCCAGTGACGGATCAACCGTCTAAGGGTGGTACCTTGTCAGTCCTTCCTCCACGGACCGGCCGAGTGGGTTCACCGCGGCCGCGGCCTCCCCGGCCGCCGCGTGGTCCACCGCGTCCACGGCCTGGGCGGCCCAGGTCTCCGAAGTTGATCTCCAGCTGGGACGTGATGTCATTAGCTGGCTTCCGGAAGTGGTGCTCATCATCACCACCACCACCCTAGATGTCAAAAACAGAGGTTAAAAACAGTTTGGTTTTTTGCATGTTCACTGCTTTTTTTATTTTTTTAAATCTATGTTTTGAGTTGAAATATTGTACAGTACAACCAACAGTAGTAGCTTTACCTTAGGCTCCTCAGTCTCAGGGTCAATCAGTTCACCTTTCTTATCCTGAGGGGGGAGAAAACAACACACCAACGTTAACACACATATAGAGCAAAAGCATATTCGTACCAACTATTCTCTATCTTTTTTTTTTTTTTTTTAATGCAGAACAGGCAACAAACTTCAACCACCATGCTCTGCACTAGAAGTAAAAAAAGGACTGGTGACAGTGAAGTAGATCCGACTTTCACTTATGCCTGTGGTTTAGGTGTCACTTGACGTACAGTCATCAGCAACCTTGTGCACTTTCATTACCAAGCAGGTAATTTAGACAGTGACGCTCGTATCCCGACCACACTGCTGTCATTTACAGAAAACTGATGCAACACTTGTTACAGTTTGCCTGATATTACTGGACGAAGGGGGCCACACCAGATTCTGTCGTAAAACACAGACTTGTCCTTATTAGGAAGACTGAGCTGCTGCCCTGCTTGAGACCTCTTAACCTCTTTGAATTAATTTTTTAAAACAGTCTTGTTTGAGTAAAATTTAGCAAAGTCTACGTGTGATGAGCAAAATTTGACGCAAAAATCTGCAAAAATTAATCTAACATTTAGGTTTTGCTGGAAGAGCAGAGCTTAAGTTTCGACTCACCTCTGCCTTTGACTTGTGCAGCACAAATCCTTTGTTCCAATCAGCTCCCTCGTTGGCCTTGCGGATGTTGAACTCCACCTTGGCCCGTTCCTTGTCCTGCATGGCCTTCCATTCATCCAGAGTCATCTCCTTGGGGCCTTCCTCCTTCACCTCCTCAACCTCATTCTCCCTTCAACAAGCACACAGACACAGATGAGTATTAGCAGCATCAACCATTGCTGCCTTTCAACATAATGACTTTTTATACGAATCTGGGATCAAGGACCAACTACAAAAATGCAAAACAACAGTTATGGACTTTATTAAAGCAGGAAATATTAAGACAAAGTAAGAACTTACTTGTTCTCAGAGTCAGCCGGTGGATGCTCCTCTCCTTCAGGGTTCTCTTCAGTGGCGTTTGATTGGTCAAGCTCACTGTGAGGAAAATAAACAAATCAGTCAGATACCACAATTTACCATCCACCAAGATTTAAGCTGGTATTCAGAACCGAGGAATTGTTTCCTAATTTTTTTCCTTTGTTGTGCTCACTGATTCCTGGAAGTAAAGTTTGCTGCCATTTATATTGTCGGCTGTACAAAGAGCATTTACAATATGGTGGACTGCAGCTAGCATTCAAACTGTGACAAAGTTTCACTGCAGACCAAAAGAAAAAGGGTTAAGTCAACATCTCTGTGAAATAGTCAACATTATTATCATCAAGAAGGCAAAACTTACTGCATGGGTGTTGTTTTAAGTGAGTGAACCTAATTTACAGGTAACAGAGGGTATCTTGGCTTCTCTTCATACTTAATTTTTTGGCACAATTCTGGAAGGACTGCACTACCAGTATTGAGATCTGTATTATTCATTGAGCTTGTGGGCAAAACATTTTCGTTGGATTTTCACAGTCTTGCTTTCACTTCCATGTTATGCCACATTACTGCTAACTTACTAATCTTTGCTTCAAAATAACACTTAAAAAATGGCTCTTTGCCTGAATTCAGCAGAAGCTTCTAGACTCCCCACATTGTTACTGAAGTGCACACACTTCAGAGAGTGTGCGAACAAAAATGACTTTAAAGAAGGTGAAGACAGGTGTTCTAATATCATATAAGTAATTCTATGTATATGAGCTGTGTTCTGTGAGAGGAGTATGCATTTTGAACATCACTGTCACAGTCTTTGTTTACTTAATTGTCGGAAGTCAAAATCGTGATTGATATTTCGCTATTCGTGCAGACTTAATTCTGAATGTGCAGAATCAAAACTACTAAAATCTACGGTCCATCTCTTTCCCGCATCCCTAAACAGGAACTAGTTTCCAGTAAACGAAAAAACACAACAAAGAGTTCTCTAAAAATAACTGACACATAAATGTCATGCAACTTCTACAAGTTTTTCATAAGAATATGCAAATGTGCTCTGTAGCTCCCCAAACTACCATCGTGCAAGTTTTCTGGTGTGCTGCACACTTAAGTACTTACTTCAGTTCATCCTTGACGGTTCCCCAGTTGTGAGATCCACTTCCTCCACGCTTCTCCTCACCTTTCAGACTACTGAAACAACATCTGCTTTAGCCAAGATCATAACACATGCACTGCATTACAGCACACACAAGGTCTTTAGAAGACCTTGTGTACATGAAGAATGCATCATATAAGCTCAATGTAAGCAATGGAGAAGTACTTACGATCTGTCGCTGCCGCTGTGTCTATCAAATTCGCGCTTTCCTCGGGAATCAAAGCCGTCGCTGCGACCCATGCCGCGTCCTCTACCTCCACGGCCTCCCCTGCCGCCGCCACGGCCTCTCATTGGCCTGTCACCGATGGGCCTAAGACATGGACGAAACACAACGGTTAAAACACCATTAAAACACAAGTTTCTTACATTCAGGGGCTTGGAAGTAAAACTGGTCAGAGTGTAAGCTTTATTTCATTCACTTTAGTTTATTTTGAGTAAACCAAGGCTGCTATACTCAACCAATGCATCAAAGAAACAAGGGATTAGGGTTTTTAACTAGGGAAATGTTGACTGTTGCTCAAACCAACAGCACTTAATTTTTTGGCCTCCTGGGGGCAGCAGAAACACTTGCAGCCATGATGAAGCAACATCACCATTTTACTACCCACTCCCGCCAAATGCTCGTTAATTATTGGGCTTTCTCTCATAAACGTTTTAAGATCTTGATCTTACTATGTGAAGTGAACTGAGATGACTTGCACCTGACACCACATAAATAAAATAAAATAAAATAACCTTAAAAGCTCATTAGTCGCTCCCTTTTAGCTCCAGGTTGGGTCTCTACAAACCCCTGAGGGAAATATCTGGCTTTTCAGTTACTAAATTCTTCCATGTTCACCAACTAGTCGCTACCTGAGTCTGCTACTTAAAGCTATACAATGAAGTGAATTTTTAGAGCTTCTTCTCTAAAAACAGCCACATGCTGCTTTCAAAACTGTGTAGATTGAATCCAAACAGGACAGCTAAATAATGAACTGATGCTCAGCATAAAGCAAAGATTCAGAAAAAATTATCTTTGGATTCATCACTACAAACATCTGCTTTTAGTCTGTTCTATCATTTTCACGTGTATGCTGCTTTAAATTTGGTGTACATTTAACTTTTTGTTTATTACGTAACCAAAGACACAAAGAGTCTGTGTCTGTCACAGTTTGGGCTAAACTAGTAATCCTTATCATCGTAAGGAACGCCCAACCAGTCGCTGTCCCACCCCATGATGAAAGCTGCAGCAGCTTTATGCGGAGGCAGGAACCACCCTGTAAAAAGGTAGGGCAGCAGTGGATTCCCACTTGTCTTCTCCTCACATGTGGTCGCTCTTAAATGAAATTGCCTGATTGGAAATTAAACTCACTTCTCCACTGAGAATTCGCCGCCCTCGGGCTTCTCTCCACCTTCACCAGCAGGCCTCTCGAAGCGTCGGGGAGGCCGCCTGTCCACAGGCCGTCTGTCTGTGGGGGGGCGCCCTTCTCCCTGGCTGCCTTGGGGTCTGGGGCCATCACCCTCCGGCTTCCGGCCCATTCTCCTCATGCCGGCACCTACGGTTGACCACAACAGAAGGATTAGATGACCAGTGGCATTGACAGATCAGGACCCACTACTGAGTCTGAGAATAGTGGTAATTGTTCTGTTTAAATGGAGCAAATAATTGCAATTAATGTGCAAAGATTTAGGCAGCTGGTGTATTTATTAGGTACTCTGCAATTGCTTCAGACTGAGTGGAAAATCTCGTGTACAAAAAATTGTTAACCAAGAGTGGCACAAGTACTTCTATTCCCTTTTATCTGATAGTGTGCTGATCAGGTAAATCATGGGATTGCGCCACAGATGGAACCAACACCCCTACACAGTGTTTAAACTTAAATGGCACATGGTTGACTCTAACTGGCCCAGTGTGACACAACAAGTCCCACCCATTTGCGAAGTCACCAGCTACCAAAATAGACATCCTCCACTACACAGCAGCAGCTGGGCCACCACAGCCAGCGCACCTGTCTCATCGCCTCTCGAGCAAACAGATATGGGCCCACTTGGCAGGCTGACATGAAGATAATGGCCAAGTAGCTGTCTGTGAGTAGGTATCATCTCTGTTAATACCAGAGGCTGGATGCTCCACTTCCTTCATGTTGTAAATGTAAGTTAGTGGAAAACACTGCAAAATGTATACGGACTGGAGCAGGGTTTACAAGTTTCTGGATATATGTTGAGCACAGACACATCTGCACAGACAAAGTGTGGAAAGAAGAGAAAGGGAAGGTGAATGCGCTGAAGCACGTTGATCAGACTCGTTATTGTGCGCCAATAGGAAGCGGCAGTTTAGAGGCTGCGCTTTAACACGCCCCACACTCCAACCACGAGGTTCATCAGCACGAGAGCGGTGCTGCCACCAATTTCTGCAAACAAATCCTCCGGCGTGTTCAGCGCCATCAAACCAGCGTGGCTCGTTTTACACTAATCAAATCATCCTGCACGTGTTCGATTCCGCTTTAACATTTTGCCTTTATTTAAACATTTTAAATGGCCGCTCGTAGTTAATAACGTTCCGTCGATTCTGGGTAAAGCAGTCAACAAGTGGCCTCGCTGTGATCCACGGAGGTAAAAAAAATTTATTCGTGAATTCAGGCGACTTTCTCCACTTGGCCAGGCGTTCAGGATCTGCCTGTTCAACAAGGCCCATGGGGAGGGGGGGCAAGTCAAAACAAGTCGGCCTGCAAACGGTTTATTGCCACAAAGCTAAAGCCCCATAGATTCCACTGCAATAAGCGTGTGTAAAAATGTCATTGTTCCAACAAGTGACAACCCACGGAGGCACAAAAGCAGCCATGCGGACCTCATGTCACGGGGCTTACGGATCGTCGCTAGCTAGTAAGCAAGCCACTTAGCCTGTTAGCTTGGATTTTTCAGTTGCTGTATGATACCAGGAGACCTAAAATGCAAAAATAATATTTACCATCTTTCTTGAGAGGTACAGGTGCCTGGGTCTCCTCCTTCTTATCGGTCAGCGGGGTCTTTCTGTCTTTCTGAGACTCTTTTTTCGGCTGCTTGGCAGCCTGGGCTGCAGTCTTGGCGGCACCAGGGGCAGCAGCCTCCTTCTTCTTCTTTACTTCGGCCTGCTTCAGCAGCTCAAACGGATCCGATTCGTCGTCAAATAACTGATCGAACCGATTGTTTATGGCACAGCCAAAACCTTCTTGCATTTGTCCGGGCATGATGGCGCCCCTTCAGCAGGATTTTCCTCCGATTCTACGAGGCTTGGTGCGAACACTTCGCTAGATGAAGCCACAAGATGGCTGGGAAAGGACCTTCTTCTCTTCCGGCGCGATAGACATCCGGGACCTCAGACTTTGCGCGGGTGGGGCGTGTAGTTTTTCCGGAAGAGAGCGGCATTGGAGACAGTTACGGAGAGACCAGTAAAAAACTCCACTACCCACAATGCCGGAGTGGGCTGGCTTTGCTAGTGTCTGTAAAGCGAAGCATGGGTGCCCTCATTTACACTTTGTGTGCTCTTGTTTTGGCTCTACAGAGAGACCTGCTCAGTCTGTGAAGCTAATTCCATAATCGTGCGTCAGTTTTCAAACTGCAAAAGGCTCACATTATTCCTTAAAGGTATTTCATGTCGCGATTTAACCCTTACACATCCCCAAAAGGAGACAGCAGGTGCCTCTGTTAATAGAGCTAACAGTTCGGATGTGAGGAAAGGACATATATAACTGACATAATCTTCAGCTAAGTTAATTAAAAAGTGACAAATCCTCCGCTGACAGACTGTGGCGGCATTTAAATCTGTCTCAGGGCAAGTATTCACGCTGCCCGAAACCCCAGTCCCCTTTTAAACCCTGCATGTTCTGCAAGTGAAAACATTTCACACTTGCATTCACACATGGTGTTATCACCACTGCTTGGAGCAATAAAACCTGATCCAGTGCAGATGTGGTTGCTGTATATCGAAAGGCTCAATATTTTGATCACATTTCCATTTTCCCATCATGTAATCTTCATGCCAGACCTGTGGAGGCTTTTCACACAGGATTTCACATCACAAGCTGCAGTTTGTTGGTGCACACATTTATCACCGTTTATCAGAAGATTATGGGCTGTTTTCACCATCCTTATTAAATGATTCTATCTGTGCATTGGCTGTATGTGTAGGATATCTCCAAATGGTGACGTTTCGTTGCCAAGTCCCCAGATTTGATGCTTCTCTTTCTTTACAATCTGTCATCCAAATAACCATCTATCCCTCCAAAATAAAGGTTAAAGTAAAAAGGTTGAACACATACTCGAATTTTGTTTGTGCATGTGTGATCAAAGTATCTGCTGGGTGCGATCTCAGTTTCTCAACAATAAATGACAAATCAGCATTGCATTTGCATTTTTGGAAAACAGAAGCTTGGTTGTATTGCAACATTCATACAGCCTGTTATAGTTTTATTCTGCCGTCTTAAGGTTTATTAGTGGATTTTTAAAACTTGTTTTAGCATATTTCACAGAAAATCACATTTGAATTGACCATTGGTGGTATTGTGGGTTGAGAAACAAGTGGCATTAATATATTTATATGCATTTACTTTCCAGTGACCTCCAGTGAGCGCTTTAAGAAGATCTTATCTAAAAATAGTATTTGTCAGTGTCTAAAAGTGAACATCTATGCTACTTTCATTGGTGGTGTTTTGGGAGATGCGGTTTCTGGTGTTTGACCCGATAAGGACAGTTAAAGCCTGACAGATTTGTTTAATTGTCAGGGAGACAAATTTCTTATTACTGGATCTGTAATGGCAGATCCAGTGACATTAATAAGAAAAAATGTGAGGATGTACACATTTTCAATGGCCTTTGGTTGCTTTTGATGGTCTCAATATTTTAGTATTCTATGTTCATTTTATATTTCATTATTCAATTTGATCTTACAAGCTGTAATCTTGTTGTGCCTTGTTTTTTTCTATTTATTTTATTTAAAAAAATATTATCTAAGTCTTTATCCTGTCTTATTCATGAACATGTGTTTTTCTAAAGACTGTCTTGTATCACTTACAGTGCTTTGGTCAACTCAAGTTTTTCCTAAAGGTGATAAATAAATAACTGCTATTGATCTCTCACCAGGGAAATTCACATTTGATTTTACTATTCCTTCATAAATGATCTATATCTTGTTCGGCTGTTTCCAAACACAAGCAGGATTAAAAGTTAACCTTTATAACGCACAAAATTTTGGAAGGGCCTTCAGGAGTCTGTTCTACTTCAGTGTTGTCATGCAGCTGCACAATTTCTTATTACATTCAGCTTTAGCAGTTTTTAAATTTTTGCCAGTGTCTCAAGTTAAAATCTGCAAGTTTCAGGATTTTTTTTTTGTCTGTCTTGAAGGATTTTAAAGGTCAGAATGTGAGTTAATGAAAGTGACCCTCATCAGAAAGTGAAAGCAAACAAAAGTTGTGCTCTGTCCTTATCTGCAAAAGTCTCATGTGTCATAAAGCAAAAAGATAAAACAAACTGAGACCAATTCATGCATCATTATCCCGAGGTAACCTACTGCATTATCTCTTTCATTCTAAAGGGAATTTTCAACTTTATAATTCGTATTTTTGCCTCCCAAGCTGTCAAATGAGACAGTTTACAGCCTATAAATGTTTTGAAAATCACTCATTAGCTTTCTGATTGTGTGGCTGCTGAGGTGGTCCAGCCTCCAGGATGATGCCTCCTGCTCTGACCGCCCCTCCTGCACACGCTTGTTTCAGAAATGCGCCGATCAATCCTGCACATCCCCCCTAAAAAATGACGTCTCCGGTCACCAAAGCGATGATCGAGTCCTACGCGCTCATGGTTATGGTCATGGGCACGTTTTTCGTCTATTTCTGCGGGATGGTTTGGGCTTTTTGCAACCCGAAACTGAGCGGATCCGAGGAGGAACAGGAGTGCGGCACCGGGACGCAAACAGAGCCGGAACGCGGGGACATGTGCTGGGTTTGCGCACCAAATCCTCCAGAGCGTCATTTCAGATGTGCGCATCTGCCGGTGCCTCCGTACACCGCAGAGGGGCTCGCTCAGACCACTTATATCAACTTTTGGGACGATACTGACAGTCTGCTGTCTGACTGCACTGCATTTTGTCGTGAGGATCGTGGGATTAACAACCAGATTGGAGGAAGTCCCTCCTGGACCGCATAGATACACTGGATTTACTACTTGTGCAAAAGTATTGTTCTTCTTATGTGATATTTAACCCTCCTGTTGTCTTTGGGATCCATTTGACCCCAGCCAGCCAGTGTTTAACGTCTCTAAATCAAGATTGACATATTTTTTTCTCTGTTATTTAAAGGGCTATAAACTTGGGTAACAAATTTTATTATGATTATTTTGTGGATTTTTAAATTGCTGGAGCTAAATTGACCCCAAGGATAAAAGATGTCAGTAAACTGAAGGTAATAGGAGGGTTAAAGTGAGTAGAGTGAGTATAAGTGGAACATGCACTGCTCATTTTAATTGTAAACTCTTTAACAGATGATCACAACTCAGGCTGTTTCCCCAGCAACATGCCTGATACAGATATTACAGATGGAAACAACAAATCAAGCTCCAAATACCAAGAGTCTGTCTCTGGCTGTGAATGCAGGCTTTCATGATGCCTGTCAGGAAGAGATGTGTTATGTTTGTCAAGTCTGACAGCCAAAGGACACGCTGCTCCCTCGTGACCCGCGATGAGACAGGAATAAAATGCCCTCCATCTACAAACGTGTGATTCGCATCAAGATGATTCAGATTCTGCAGGATGGATGGGAGCATGGGGGGCTTCTGTTTGCAGTTTCTTCCTCACGTCGCTCTCTAGATGCAGCAACTTCTCATACAAAGACTCGGATGTTTCCAAATCGATATCCATCTGCAAAAAGGAGGAGATGATCAAAGAACTACTTTGCAAACACAATGCTTTTGATGGAAAATTCCAGCTTCCTACCTTCCGTGGTTGTGTGTAGTTGTGGCCCAGCCCTGATGTTAAGCTGTGGTATTTGGCATATGGGTCCAGAGATTCAGGCTTTTGTTGAAACAGCCAAAACTGAAATGAAAAGCAGAATTCAGTGCCAGAATTTGTGCTGAATCATGTATTGAAATGAGATTTTTTTGTGTTACCAACCAAAGCTTCAGCTCCATTATAAGGTGTCAGTGTGAAAGTGTTGGTGAACATTCGTATCTGTGAGAATGAAAGAAAAAAAAAATATCCATGCTGGTTTTTTTTAAATTTTTTTTTTTAGTCATCACACACCCAACGAAGGCCGCATTAGAACTAACAGGAAAAACCAGTCAGAGTTGCACTCACAAGCCAGAAGATGGGCATAAGCAGCGTCCAGAGGAAGGCAGGGAAGGAGGGCAGGATGCCGTAGGTCAGGTTGGTCATCACGAAACCGGGGCAAATGACAGAGGAGTACAAACCCTAGAAAAAAAAAAAACTTATCAAAAAAAGTTCATCTCTCAGGCGTGAGTCACTGTGAGGTGTGTGAGAGCCGACCTGTTTGTTGTAGTGAGTGTTGAGTGCCAAGCTGAGCAGGTCGGAGGCGTATTTGGAGGAGCTGTAAGGTTGGGTGCCTCCTCGGTGCTGCACGTCTTCCAGGTTAAAAGCCGAGCGATGAGCGTTGCTGGAAGAGGTCCAAATCAGCTGGGAGGTTCGGCCTTCGTGGCACAGAACCGGCTCCAGCTCCCTGACCTGGACCACAACACAGGAGAAACAATGCAGAAATTAGAAAACTCTTATCAAGCCATTAAACAACATATGTTCATCAAACTCAGGAAAAAAGGCACACTAGGTTTCGTAGTTGGCTTTGAAACTGGACATCATGTTCTTTTAAAAAAATGAAATTCATCTGAAATAATAGGTTGAGAAACAAGTGACATTAATGTATGCATTTACTGTCCAGCGTTTTAAGAAGATCTTACCTAAAAATACTATCTGTCAGTGTCTGAAAGTGAACATCTGTGCTGCTGTGAAAGTATCACAGATGCATTTGTAATTCCTGGAACTTTAAGGCTGCTATCATCTAATGGTTGGCTTATTACCAGTCAGAACTCACCTGTAAATGCACAGTGAGCAGAATACCGTCTGCGGTGACCTTATGGCTAGAACAGTGTGTGCTGTTAATTTTTAATGAGCAGAGTCGATACCTGACAGACAGATCCGATATCACCTGTATTTGTTCTACCAAGGACAAACAGCTGACAGGAGTTTCTCTCTCCCTGCTGACGACTAAAAGGAAGCATGCTTTTCTACTACAGTGGATGCTTTTTGATCAGACAAAGACAGCAGATTGTGCTTCATAAGCAAAACTCACTAGAAGGAAGTGACCAAAGAGGTTGGTGGTGAAAACTTCCTGCAGGCCGTCAGGTGTGACTCCATCCTTCTGTGTCAGAATCCCCTCACCGGTGGCGAACATTGTGATGACATTGCTGCAGTGAGGATGTTGTAGAAATCAGAGCTTGAACCTAACAAATGTAACATTTTTAGAACAGTAGTTCTGTTTGTCCTCCACTGGGATGTGATGATGTTTTCATAAAATATAATGGAATTTACTTGGACCCTCGTGGCTACACAAATACTGTGGCCATATTTTGAACTGTACACAGAAATCCTTGTGTGGTGTGGAGGGACTATATTGTCTATTTTGTGTCATATTAATAATACTTTTCCTTGCAGTAAGGCTTAACAATTCAACGATGTACGAGGTAAAAATGGTCGATATTTGTGAACCAGTAAATCAAACATTATTCATTATTCATGATTTCTTGAGCATTGTTGACCAAATACATATTCATAAGGCAGCAGAGAAATAGATGTGTGAAAAATGGATAGTTATTCTGTGCAGATTTGTACATGAGGCCTCATTTAAAATCAATAATGTACCTGGAGAAGAGGCCCTTGAAAAAGGCTTTTACATCAAACTGTGGGTTTGGCATGATGCCTGCGTTCAGGTAGAGGTAGTCCAGCCGCTGAAACCTACAATCAAAGGGGCAGAAGTGTAACTCTGCAACACAAAGAACTGGTAACCTGTTGGTGAATGTAGATTTAACTTCCATCACCTGAGTCTGACCTCCTGAGCGGCGCTGATGACGGAGGAGATGCTGCTGGTGTCCATCTGCAGCAGAGACACCTGGGCTGTGGGGTGGGAGGTGAGGAGGGCCGAGCGAGCGGCTTCGGCCCGACGCATGTTCCTGCAGGCCAGACACAGCTGGAGGCCTTCTGGGTCCTGGGAGAGGAGACGCTCACACAGCGCCAGACCGATGCCACTGCAGGGAAATACATACTTCGGATTACTATTGCTACTGCTATAGTATTGAATTAATACCATACCTGTACATATCCATGTGTAAATTCATCATGCCTCATGTGTACATGTGAAAGGTGTACATTGTCTTTATTAGATCTTCATTATTAACCTTATTGTACTTTTGTAATTCATGTCCTGCTCCTTCCATGACTCATCTCTATCTACTTGCTATAACATGTAAATTTCCCCAGTGAGGGATTAATAAAGTTGATCTTATCTTGCAACTGCACTTACATTGTCTGGCTTATTTTAATTGCAAATGTGACCATATTAAAGTAAGTACTAGGTAGGACACCCTGGATAAAGAGATTTTAAAAAGTCAGATAAATGAGCATAAATAATACAACATCAGTGTCTAAAATAGGTCATCAGCAGCAAAAGAAAAATAGGAAAGAAGGCCTCAAAAGATCCTGGTTTGCAATAAAAAAGAATAAATGGATGTATTACCTATTTGATCCTGTCACCAAAACCACCTTGTTCATCTTGTTCAGCTCAAACTGGCAACAAAACAAACACCACAACCACAGCCAAAAGTCTTCTAAAGCAACAAGTTGACTGACTGGTCCAGGAACTGGTTTCCTGCTCTGTAAGGTCACGTGTTTCGACTCCGCCTTCTCCACGATTTGATTGGATGCCACCGCAGCCGTCGAGCCAATCAGATCCTGTTACCGTTCAGCTCAGCGCCAAGCCTCGCCCACACAGACACAGCATGAAACATTCAGTGGTTATGAATAAGACACGAGCTCTGCAACAGATAGAATTCCCTGTTTAAGTTTTATTTGTGTTTTGTCTAACAATGTACAACTTTTTGTTTACAACATATAGAAAACATTCTCACTGGAAAAAACAAAACAAAGATTTGAGTACAAGGATGCAATAAAACAAAACAAAATTAGGAGTCTGCCTGGGTGTTATAGTTGTGGAGCTACACGTCTGCCTTTAGTTCTTTTGTAACATTGAGAGGATTGAAAATGCAAAAAAAAAGAAAAAAAGTGTTTCTATCTGCTGAAAATCACCAGATCTTGTATTTAACCTGCACATTTTTTCACCTTGTGTCTTTGATTTATGAGACAAATGGAACAAAAGTCACCAATAATAGGAAACAGCCTATAAATGCAACTAAACTGGATAAAACATCAATGTGCAGTGTGATTTTCAAGCTGTTAGAGATGAAGCCAGAAAGCACGGAGGAAAATTTAGCAGAAAAAAATAAGCAGAAAGAATCCAGATTGCATCGATAAAAGAAAGATTGCAGTAACTAACACCTGTAGATGAGTCATTAGTTGTGCTGGTTTTTAAGTTTTATATAAAAAAGACAGTGGAAGAGATCTGAATGAGTCCATGTTTTTGAATCAAACACACCGTTTAGGGTGAATATTCCCATTTTAAATGCATTTGCGATTTAAAAAAATATTCATTTTCTCCTTAACTTGTTCAACATCCACCACACACTCAGCAACATCTTTCGGTAAACACACACCACTGAACACGTACAGCCTGGATTCCTGATACGCACCTCATCACATTATCTCATCAGTCATCAGAGATCAATATGCATTATGATCGACTTAAGACAGTCTGCAGCGGGAAGGAAAAAATGAATCAGGAAGAATTACTGCAAAAAAAATCAAAAAGGATACTCCAAATAAAGAGCATATTAATACACACATATTTCGACAAAACATAAACAGAACAAACACATATGAACATATAAATATTAATACAAAATATTGATATTTGAGATTTAGACTTATCTATTGAAAATACACAGTCATATACACTTCATGTTCAAATCACTGTAGGAAAACTGCAGGGAGATGAAAACCACTGAGCTGATCGATGTGTTATGTTTGTGGGGGTTTTCTCTGCAAAAAGAGACGAGATACTTGAAATACGACGAAACGTTAACAGTGACGGTTTGCTGCACTTTTCCTTTTCTACATTCAAGCAGTCTTCCAAAAGAAAACACAACACAACATGAGCATGAGTTTGGTAGCGATATCTCAATATGTCAAACACTGGGACATTTTAAACAAATATTAACAAATGAAATCAAAATATATTTTCAAAAGTGCCGATTGTCACTTGCTACATTACATTTTTGGCTTCTTCAACGCGTGTTTCTGTTGGTGTTTGAAGGATGGTGTGGTATAAAACAGATTTATTTTTCTTTTACCTGTATGTCTATAATCATCTTGTTTGTGCTGATTGAAGTCAAAATGACACACACCAAGTGTCTCTGTTAGTCCATCTTTGTAGTGTCCATCAAACAGTGTTTCCCAAACCATAGCTTGAAGCCCACAGGTGCCCCCCAACCCTGTTCCTCTGCCGAAACAAGATTAAAGCTTAAACCTGGATCGCGTCTGCCACAGAGACGAGCAAACCAAGGAATCACTGTCTGGAACATTGCACTTGGCTTAAGGTTGTATTTCCAGGAGGGCTTTGTGTATTTCCTGGAAGGAGGGCCGTTCCTTTGTGTTCCTCCTCCAGCAGCTCAGCATGATCTTGTAGAGCGAGTCTGGACACAGCACAGGCTGAGGCAGGTAGATCTGCAGACAGGGAGTGAGTCATTAACTCGGGGGGATTTACTGGTGTTTGCAGATACGACAAAATGTGTGTATTCGCTCACCTGTCGTTTCTGGTCCCTGAAAAACTCCCCTGTGTTTTCTATCACCTGCTCATCAGTGAGCTGAGAATAAGGCTGCTCCTTGCAGAAGTTCAGTATCTCCCACAGGGTCACACCGAAGGCCCACACGTCGCTCGCTGTGGTGAATTTACCCTGAACAGCAACACATGGTGAGAATTATTTCTTGCACTATAGAGCTGGAAATCAGTGACAGAAATGATTTGAAAGAAAAATGGTGTATATAAAGGACTGGTATTTGACTGAAACACCACTTTACTAATTTATTGGTTTGGTTAAATTACAGATGGTAGCTAGAAAATTTGCTTTTTGGGGGCATTTTACTGTATTTAAATCAGACTAAAAAAGCATTATCATACAGTTATTTACAGTTTTTGAACATGACAGTTTTCCATTTTTAACATATGTTTTTAGAACCCCTGCTGCCAGATTTCTAACTTTTTTTTCTTTTTACAGAGAAATGCTGTTTTGAGTTACTTGAACATGAGTATTTTTATTTTCTGCTACTTTACACTTCCCTATACTTTTATTTCAATACACTCCACATGCTGTAAAAAAAAATATTGTTTACTTACTTTGCAGATTCAGTTTAACAATACAATCTGTAATCGACAAGTAATTGATGATGGAATAATCTAGATTAGGATTAAATGTTACTGACCAATGAGCATCAGTTCTTCTAATTTAATAATGTGCATTATGCTGAAATATTCCATCCATTTCTATACACCGCTTAATCCTCATTAGGGTCGTGGGGGGGCTGGAGCCTGTCCCAGCCGACTTAGGACGAAGGCAGGGGACACTGGACAGGTCGCCAGTCCATCGCAGGGCCACACTTAGAGACAGACAACCAAGCACACTCACATTCACACCTACGGACAATTTAGAATCAGAAAGTCGGGAGAGGACATGTGGGAAAGGGCCATGAGCGAGATTCGAACTCATGACCTCCACGTCGGGGACTACAGCCCCTGTATACGGGACGCGAGCTCAACCAGGTGAGCTATAGCAGCGCCTTGAAATATTCCATTCTGCAAAATTACTAGTTTTAATTTTGGTACATTAGGAACATATTATTGCTGATTGTTTTGTATTTTTAAATGCACTGCATCCTTTAAATGCATGACTTTTACTTATTGTGTATTTCTACACTGTGTGTTTTGGCACTTTTACTTAGATCTTTGCATTTCTTCCATCTCTGCTGGAAACACATCCTGTATTCACAAACAAACGTGAGCATCCCTCCTCACCAGCAGGATGCTCTCCCAGGACATCCAGCGTATAGGCAGCACTGCTCTCCCCTGGATGCGGTAATAGTCGCCGCTGTACAGGTTCCTGCTCATGCCAAAGTCAGCTATCTTTATTGTGTAGTTTTTGCCCACCAGGCAGTTCCGTGTGGCCAAGTCTCGATGGACGAAGTTTAGCGAGGAGAGATACTTCATCCCCGAGGCTATCTGAGTGGCCATGTAGCACAGATTGTTGAAGCTGTGGGGGACACAGATACCGTTATGTGCCGAAAATGGAAATATATAAGACAGTCTTAATAAACTAAATCTGTAAAATAATAGAAAAAAATTCTGCCAACTGACTATTTGGCCTTTGTTAATTAATAGTTCATCCACAGTTAAATAAATAAATAAAATAATAGTACATTTTTTGTATTTTAACAGTAAAGCTATTGTAAAAAAAAAAAAAAAATGTTAAAAAGAAAGAAAGAAAGAAAAATAAATAAAAATAAAAAGTTGTATCTGTTGAGAAAATAAAAGGGTATTTTGTAGGAATTAATGGGGTACCCAAAGTAAAAAGAAATAGGACATTTTCTACTTTTAATGGAAAAATTATGATTGCTTGGATTTATTAATGTATGTATAGTAAAAAAAAAAAAAAAAAGGTTAATAAATCCATAAAATGAAAATAAGATTTTTAGCGGTCACCTGGTGCAAATTTTAAAAAGAAAATAAAATAACACCTACAGAAATAAAAAATATATCACTTCTGGTAACTGAACAATGTACATGATGACAATTGCAACAGCTGGTATTAACTCAGTTCCAAATTACAAATAAATGAAAATACGCTTTTAAGTTAAGCACTGTGGACAATTTTGTGTAAATAAAAAAAGAAAAAAGAAGAAGCTAATGGCCAAATATTTCTTCATATGTATTCACCTGACAGTCGGCGCGTTGCTCAGCAGAGCCAGTTGTCCCTCAGGTTCGTGGCGGGACAGAAACTGGTTGAGATCTCCGTTCTCCATGTACTCTGTGATCATACAGAGAGGGTCGCTGTAGATGCACACAGCTAGAAGGCGAATGATGTTGGGGTCCTTCAAACGTGACATGATCTTTATCTCTTTCAGGAAGTCGTTCCTGCAAACGCACAAAAGAATTTGCACAGGGTGAATGATTTACTTTGCGCTGAGATAAGCCAGAATTGTATTAACTTCACAGTCACTCTTGGTGATTTATTTAGAAGCACCACACCTTGCATTTTTGTTGGCATCTGAGCGCAGCATCTTCACAGCCACTAAGACGGGCTGGTCCTCGGGGATGTCAAACAAAAACTCTTTATTCATAAACTCCTGCATTCCCTCTGCTTCACACAGGTGTACCTAAAGACAGAGGAAAAGAGTGAGTCTCATAGCTTGTTTAGAGCTGTACACTTGTAGTTTTGTATCAGACCATTCTCTGTTGCAGCGCCGTGTAGAATGGTCTGACTGCACCTCATTGTGCTATGGGGGGGGGGGGACAGAGCTCTTGCATGTTTTCTTTAATCCAATCATCAACATCTTGGGCAGGGCTAAGAACAGGATGCAGTGACAGTGTTCACTCAGAATACTGACAGGGGAAGTGTTTCAGAGGATGCAGGGAGACTTGCAACAAAAAAAGACGAGCAGGTCTGTCTTT